GAAGCATACTCAAACAGAGCCATTATAAATGTTTTTTCTCCAGAGTCTTTCTTTCAGTTGTATTGTGACAAAATGCCCAGACAAGTCGCCCTTTTCATACGAAAAGTAGGAAAAGGACTTTTCCAACTACCAACTCCTTTTAGGTAGTCGATCCTCATGTCAGATGCTCGAAGAACATGAGTTATTTGTTGAGAATGTGCCCTAGGTCCAGATGAGACATTGGCAAAGAGGATGCTTTCTTGAAAAAATGAACTCAAAAATAAGAATTATGATAATTTACACATTATTTATATAAATTTTGATAATTATTTTTTATTATGAATTATTAAGATTTATTTATTTGTTATTATATTTTTAAATATGTTGATCCTTTTTATCTAAAAATTGTAATAAATTTTAATTATTTATAATAAAAAGACAAATAATCAAAATTTTGTGTAAGTAATATGTGTAAAAATTCTATATAAATGATCCTAAGTCAAAAAATAATACCTTAAAAATCATTATGAATTTTGATACATTTGATAATCATAAATTATATAAAAGAAAATAACCTTTTCATTTCTCTAAATTTTTTTCATCCAACTCAAAATTCAAATTTAAATTTTTAAATTGAAATTACAAATTTTTAACCATTAAAACACTTTATTGGGGGTGGACTTTTCACATTAATAAAAGTTAATAAAGTGTGTTCGTTACTTTAAGAAGGCAAAAAATAAAAGAAAACTTACGGAAAATGTAAGCATGGCAAAACGAAAGGATACACCATCTGTTTGGTTGCCATGCATCTCAAAGAAACAATTCACGAAGGCCGAGCTTATAAGATTATTGGCTTTGCCTAGCATTTTGTTATTTATGGTACAAAAATTAATGTAAAAATGTAATTGATGATAAAGTGATTTAATAAATTATTTTGGGATTTATAACCAATTATTTTTTGACATAATAAATTATTTGAATATAATCAAAATTTTTTTAAGTAATCAATTACTTTATTTTGAAAAGTTTTCTTCCCACTTTTGATCAAAAAATTATTTCATTCCTGGACCAAGCCATGGCTTGTCTTTTACCGGCTTTCCCGAGATGTTGTTTCGGGATCCATAGTAACCAAACACAGCCAAGTTAAAGAAAGTGTAAAGAATAGACCTAAGTTGCAGACTAGACTAAAGCAAACAACAGACTTAGAAATTAACAAAGAGTTGCGCTAACAGACTTAATTAAATAGCTAACAAGACATTAACTAGATTAAGCAAACTAAAGGAATTTATACTTGCAACCAGAAGTAAATTTACAGACTTGATAGAAAAACTACATCGATAGATCAAGTTAACTTGGCAAAACTTAGCTGCAGCAATGTAAACGAAGATCTTTTGAAAGTATAAAAAGGAGGGGGATGGTTATGATCATTAACAAAATGTTAAGATCATTAAAATTATAAAATTTTATCTTTAAAAAAATTAATTTTATTTAATTTAATTGATAAAAATATCTAATAACTATAATTATTAATTAATAGGATAAATATCAAACATAATTCTTAACCTTTACCATAAATATTAGATATTGTCCCAACCTTTAATTTTGATCAAAAATAGTTCCCAGCTTTTTTAAAATTACCAAATTTAGGCCCCCTTTGGTATAGCGGTTTTGGAGTAACGGTTTGCGGTTTTACCTAAACCGTTAAATATAGGTGTTTGGTAAACTTATATATTTTGAAACTGCTACAAATAAAATGTTTGGTAAAATTTTTATTTAGCAGTTAGAAACTAGCGGATAGCGGTTAGAGTCCAAACCGCTAACGAATTGAAAAAGTTAGTTTATGTAACTTTTTGTACCAAACCGCTAGCGGATTAGAATTTTTTAATTTTATTGACCAATTTATCCATTTTAATTTTTTAATTTTTGGTTACATTTTTAATTAATATTTATCTAATAAATTTCAATTTTTTTTTATCTTTCATAACATTAAGTGATTATAATATTTTTTTTACATTATTTTATAATTAAAAAATATATTATCTTAAAAAACAAAATTTGTTAATTAGACAAAATGATTAATTTTTTATTTAAAAAT